GGTGCGGGGTCAGGCAGCGCCAGCTCTCCCACGTTTGGGGAGCAGCTCCCTGTGCTGGACAGGRCACAGCCCTCCACCCTGACTGGGTGACTGAGCCCTGGGGTCACAGCTCCAGCCTCCCTGCAGCATCCACCGCAGCCGAGGGCACCGAGATTCTCCCGGGATCGGAGCCAGCTCACCTCCAGCCCACCTCTGCCTGGGACTTGGCCACACGGGAACAGTCCCTCGGCAGAGCCAGSACTCGTTCAGTAGCCTGCAAGTAGCAGGTCTTCATTAACCTCACTGATTTTTGAGATAGATGAGCTGGCAGATGGGAGGCTGTAGAAATATTTGTCCCAGCAGCTGCAGGGGGAAGAATACATATGAAAAAAAGCTTTTGTGTTTCACTTAATAGATGTCTAAACGCCTTGCATGTGCACAAATATCTGTGGCATGTATTGCTGGCTTAGACCTGTACGATCCATGGCTCTCTCCTACCATTTTCTGAAGTGCAGTGCAATTCAACTAAGTCCTGCAAAGTAGCATTTTGAGAGGGTAAAACTTGACAATTTGTTATACGAAACCTCCCTCCTGAAGCTGGACTTATTTTTTTTCCAATATGCCAAGCACATTAATGAGTGTCAGAGGTAAACCAGAATGCTGGGATGGAGGGAAGTGGAGAATAAAAATCTTCCAGCAGCACCTCTGCTTATTTCATGGTTAAGTTATTTTGTATTAGCCACAGAAATTGCTGCTGTGTCTGTTTGGTGAGGATGMATGCAGACTGCCCAATTAGCAAAAATCATAGAGAACGACCTCGTGGCTTGTTTCTCAAGGCTTGATGTGGGGGTTTGGAAGCACRAGGCTCTCTAATAAAGCTTCCAGTCATTCAGCCTCATAATTCTGCTTATCAGTGCCACAAACAAAAAATATTCCAAGTTGCCTGAGTTTGCTGGAGGTGTGCAGGTGATGATGGAGCTCACTGCTCTGCTGGATCCTGCCTTAGCCTGCTGGCAGGCTCASTGGAGGCATGGAGCCAAGGCTTTGGGAACAGCATCCATCCGATTTGGCAACAGAAATCCTATTTCTGTGCAGGGAGCGACAGGGAGATGAGCACTGCCCAGCACTCACTTCCTTGGACATGTTTGAATAATTGTTCTGCCGTTGAGCATTGGCTGTAGGGTGTGCCAGGTCCCCGAGGATTTGKTTTGTGTGCTGGCACAAGGGGCAGCTGAAGGAAAGCACAAACAATTGTCCCTTCCTCACTGGGCAAGGGGTCAGACGGAGGGACAGTGGTGGTGGGGGACAATGCCCCGAGCATGGGGCMGGCTCAGGAGCACAAATGGTTAAGTGTAGCCTACAGCTCTGTTTCTGGGGTCTCATTTCATCATCTCACCTGCAATGCCAGCCGCTCTCATGGACAACCCAGCCTTACCACAGCAGTGATTCTGGCAGGGCCTGATCTCACMCAGTCACTGCTCCCAGCAGAGGAGCAGCCTCTTGTTTCCCCTGACCCCTTTTGCCACGGTGGTGGAAGTGCAGAGCCTGATCTCTGACACTTCACAGCAGCTCTTACAGTGCACAAGGACTTCCCAAACTTCTGCAAAKGCAGCAAATTTCTTTTCACTGGATTTGGAGTTTGATTTTTGGACATGTGTTTGACACATGCACTATTTTTCCTTCMCTTCCCTCCGGCATAGGCAATAGTGGGGAAGTGACCCAGGAAACAAYTTGGGATGCAGTGCCTTGTGTGGCATTTGCATTTGTGCAGAACACTGTCATTTACAGGAGCCTTCATCAGCGCAGTCACAGAGTTCTGCAGCTGACTTAGAATAAATAGGCAGTAAGTTCTGAGCTAGTCTGTCAAATGGGATGGATCAGAATAGGTGCTCAAAGTAGTGTTTTATCAAGACTGCTGCCAGCYGTTCAGAGTCAGCAAATAGTGCTGTTGATTTCCATGGGATCAGATTGAGATGGATAATAAGAGAACCTTATAAAATAATATGTAGGGGCATTTTCTGTGAGAAAGACAGCCCTGGCAATCCTGCAAGCTGCAGGGRTGGAGGGCAATCTTATTTCTAAGCTTCTGCATGTATTTTTCATAGGCTGCATCCTGGCTGATGCATTGCCATGCATTATGTAGGGTGAGGGGTGGTGACRGAGGCTGTGAGCACAGCGTTGTCCATGATCCAGTCTGACAGTCCCAGCTCTGAGCACCTGGTCATGGTTTGAAACAAGTCTAATCTGTCTAAAATTGCCTCTGAGGACAGCTGAAACTTGACCAACTTGTACSAGGATTCTAAAGAAATGCAGAAATCAGTTCATATAGTGAATTCTCTTTGTTGTGTGTTGGCCAATTCCTGCCCCACCCTGGCAGAGCTKGTCCTTGGAACGTGAGGAACGTTTTCAGCCCCTGCGGGTCCCACTGACAGGCTCTGAAATCCTGCACTAAGGGAACGGGAATTAGGGCTCCTGCCCTGGAATTAGTGCCAGCAGGRCAGTCCTGAGACACACAGGGAGCTGCTGCAGCAGAGACACAACCAGCTGAGCTCCCAGCAACACCTCAGCTGCCCCGGCTGCCGCTCTGCTTCTTTTCCAAAAGGGGAAAAACAAACACCAAAAAAGTCACACTGGGGAGTCTTTGTTTTACCCTTCCATGTCCATGCTGTAAGCTTCCTTGGCTTAAATCCTTTACTTTCTACTCCCAACTTCCCTCAGCTTTCTGCTAGCATCTGGTGTCTGCTTTAAGTGGAAAAAGTCCTGTTGTACAGACACTTTTTTTTCTTCATCCTGGTAAAATCTTYACTGGACCCTTCCTTGGACTCTTCCAATAGGGGTGGTGCAGAATTGAGTTGAGGAAATATTTTTCACCAATAATCCGGCTTTATTTTATCATTGGTTGTCCAAAACCATGGATAAATAGAACATAATGGTTTTAAGCAAGGGCAGGCTGCACTTCAGTTTCCATGAGCTGAATTTATCAGACACTATCCCATCCAGCAGCGCACTAATCATCAGCTGTAGGGCTTTGCAAGGCAGTGGTATATTTAATGTTCATTAATTTCACAGGAGGATTTCTGGGAAGCAGCAGATGGCAGGAAGCCGTGGGTTGCTGCTGTGGCTGTGAGGGTGAGGAGCTTCCAGGGGAAGTTCTGTCCACAAGATTTGAGAAACCTCTGAGAGATCCCATGGTTCAGAGACCGCCAGAACCAAGGATCTGCGCCAGAGGAGTGAAAGCTGTGCTCTGCCTCTGGCTGGAGCCCGCAGCTGCTGGATGCCAGCACCTCATTCCTCTGAGTCACAGCAGGCTTAGAAACAGCACCACGGTAAAGAAATGGCAAGTGGAGAGGATGGCTTTGTGTTTTCTGTCATCCAGCCATAAGCAGGCAGGGGAAAAGCTTGATTTGTTGTCATTCTCAGCTTTCCCCGTGGCTCTGTTAACAATTACCATTCCACGGATCGCAGGGAGAAAGGATGGATGAGGTATTGGAGGGGAGCTGGTCAAAGCTATTCGCATGCTTCCCTCGGCTGCCAGCTCTGTCTGCGCTCTCCTCCCATGGCACACGGRCGGGCTTTTCCCTCGCCGTGCTCGGAGCTTCGCTCATGCTCCAGAGTTCTTCCTTCGGCTCCGTGGCCTTTCTGCTACGCTCCCTGTCCTTGGGCGCCGGAGGYTGCAGGTCCCCGCCGATTTTCACAGGAGCCGTCTCTCTCTCAGCAGCACAGGAGCTGGGAAAAGCCTCGGCGGTGCTGGAGGCTCCCGGTGACGCGGGAGCTGCGGGAGCACAGGCGGTGCGGGGGCCCCGGAGCGCCGGCATCGCCCCGGAGTCAGCGCAGCCGGAGCTCTCCGCAGCGCTGCCAGGGATTCCCAGCCCCGGCGGGGATTCTCTGCTGCCGAGAGGCTTTGCAGGGGGAGCGAGCCCTTCCCGGGGCTCGCAGCCGCCTGGGCTAGCGGGACGTGTCCTTGCCCACGGCGGGGGGATTGGAGCTCCGTGGTCTTTAAGGCGCCTCCCAACGCGAGCCGTTCCCCGATTTTCCAAAGGAACGGGTGATTCAGGGCTGGAAGCACCGCAGCACTCAGCCTTCCCCAACGCAGGAGCTTTCTGCCGCTCACCTGGAGAGCTCCCGCAYGGCCCCTCCGTGCTTTGGTGCATTTGGTGCCCGGGGGAAGCAGGACTTGCAGTGCATGCAACAAAACTCTTCTGACAGCCCCACTACTCACGAGGCTTCTGGAAATTTGTGCTTTCCCAGSGGATGAGCCCCTGGGGAAACATGAATCTTTCAGAGGCTTCAAGCAAATAAAATGCAGCATTTTACAGTCTTAGGTATAGCCTCGGGTTTCTCAGTTTTTCCTGACATAGTCCCAATTTTCTGCTCTCTTATTTATTTCTTTTAGTGAAGATATTCAGTTCACACTTTATTCTGCTCAATATAACCAACATAATCCTATTTTCTTACTACTTAAGCAGATAGTCAAGATGCCAAAAGCATTTCTATAGCCTGGAAACTCCCTTATTTTCTGCCTTAAAATTCTAATTGTAGTCATGTATGTACTTCTGGTTTATAATATGGAAAAGCACGGTTTAATCCCCAGAAACTAAGACCRTGGAAACATGTGCAAAGAGACTCACTGGGATAACAATAATATAATAAGATTTTCATCATCGGAACAAAGATGTAAGCCAGAACTGCTCTTTCGGGGGGGCGAGCCTCGAGAATCTTGTCCGTTTTCTTTCTTGGCATCTGTCCCACTCCACGGCTATGGAGTTTGTGTCCCTGGAGTAAATTCTCCAGAGTTGGTGGTGTCCTGGAKCTGCCCTCGAAGCAGGGGCAGGGAGAGGAGCAGCGCTGGGTGCGGGAGGTCGTGCTTACSCGCAGCACGAAGTGTCAGAGGATTCACATGAGGAGAGGCCCCTGAGGAAGCAGCGTGTGCTGCCCGCAGGGAACTTTGGTGCGAATGCCATCGCCYGGGTTCTGACTCGAAGGCACCAACCCTCAAACGCTGCTGTTCTGTGTCCCCACAGGTAAATACGTCTACCAGCCCATGACCCCCGTGGAGCAGCTGCCCAGCACCGAGATCCCCGTCCGCCCGCGGGAGCCGCCCAACACCATCCAAATCTCGGTGTCTCTCACCGAGCACTTCCTCAAGTTCGCGCCCGCATTCCAGCCGCCGCTGCCGCCCGAGGCGCCGCAGTTCTGCACCATCGCCGACCTGTTCATCGACAACTACCGCGTCAAGTGCATCAACGGCAAGATGTGCTACGTGCAGCGCCAGCCGCCCGCCCTGCACAGGGCCAGGCCCGATGACGCTTCCGTCCGCAACGCCTTAATCGCAAAGGAGAGCAATACGCCCAACCCCGAGCACTGCTCATCCCCCTCCAGCTCCGAGGACTCCGGCATCAACGCCGTGGGGGTTCACTACATGGAGTCGTGTGATGAGGACACGGAGGGGGTGGCCGAGCTGAGCTCAGAGGAGGATTACAGCCCCGATAGCAGCTGGGAGCCGGACGAGTGCCCGCTCCTGTCGCCCTCGCAGTGCGAGATGGAAGTGATCGAGACTATAGAAACCACTGTGTGACCACAGAAGTCGGCATCGGCTCAGTCCGCTTCCCTCTCAGTAATGTTGCTTTTGTAGTATTTCTATTTTCCATTTTTTCTGACAATCCCTTTTTTCCAGTGCACTTGATATTTCAGACTCCTCTCATGGGAGCGCGGTCACAGGACTCACATATGGTGAAGTAGCAGCAGCCTGAGCAATTTTAACACGTTCTCAGCCTGATCAGCTCTCCCACGTCTGCACGTAAGGTAGTGACAAATCTTAAGACTTTTCTAACAGAAAGAGGCCCTTTTGTTGGTCTGGGTTACCCCACACACAACTTCTCACACGAAGATGTGCCACTCGAGATGTTTCCACCCGCCGGGTTGTTGGCACGGGGGGCACAGCTCTGGAGCAGCAAACCAAGGTGCCCTTAATCTTTGTCCAACAGCTACACGAGGCTCCTCTGATCTCTGTCCCGGCGCCTTATCCGGCCTCTCCCTGGAGCTGGTGCGACCCTTCCCCGAGGCTGTCGGCACCACGGTCCCAGCACGTTGGAATGGCAGGCTACAGAATGCACAAAGTGCCTCCAACTTTTCTCCAGGCTATGCACCGAGCAGCTGCTCTAGTTGGCCAGGCTCTGACATCTCCTGAGAAGGCAGCTCTTGCTCTGGAGGGGGATGACTTGCCAGAATCCAGCTGGTTCCTGTTCTCTGCCTGGWTCTCGGGAGAGGGTCTGGCTTTTGTAGGAGGAGCAGGCAGGGGTGGGGCACGGCCCTGTAACCAATACCACATGGGGAGCACTGGCACAGGCCGAGGAAGCGACTACCTCCGAACACCCGCCCCCGGCTCCGCCTCTGCCTCCTCCTGGGCTCTTCGGTGCCGGACACTCAGGACCAAATGGCCTCGGAGCCTGCATTTGCCTGAAGAATAACAAAGTTTAAACAAATAGAATTTTACCAGCCACACCACTGTGTCGGCAGAGCTTGGGGACAGCATGGAGGTGCCCCAGGGAGGTGGCCCACGGGCTCGGTGGTTTGTGAGCTTGCTAAAACACAGCCTAAGGTCATCCTAGGGGAGAGAGGAGGCTCTGGCTCCTGCTCCTCCACTCGCAGCCCAGGAGCAGGGTCGGAGCAGGGGTCCCTCACCCAGCTGGTAGCGGAGCTGTCCTACAGGAGGTTCGGTTTCAGCCCTGCTTGAAGGAAACACAAACGCCGCTCTCAGATTCCAGCCGGCTGATGAGCTGGAGCCAGTAACTCCTGTGCTCCYACAGCGTTACAGCCACTCGTGTGGTTGGTTTGCATTTCAGAAGTCCCTGGTGAATCCAAGGCTGTATAAACGTGTACARTTAGTGATTGATCCTAGATTATAGTCCGTGGTAGAGGATGGCTCATCTCTCACTGTATCCTGACAATGTATTCCCGATTTTATACACTTTGTAATCCGTATCTTTAGAAGACTTTAGGCAACAGTGTGTCTGTGCACATGCGCGTGTCTAGGAGTTTCCATGGGTGGATATAAAGTAATGCTGTACTTTTTAGACTTTAAGACTTTCGGACAAAAATTACCGGTTTTATAATTTTGATGACTTACATAAAAATGTGCAATGCTTGTGGAACGAGGAACTTGGGCCATTGCATGAACGGATACATTCTCACAAGGCACCTGAAAATATTCTGTTTTTCTGAGGGCATTTAAACAAAGGCTGTAGTAAAACTAAATAGGATTTATTTCTTTTTTAAGGGCAGGGTTGTCTTTCTTGGCTAACTAAGGTTTCTAACAACATTTTGGTGTCTTTGGACCATTCAGACACATTCCATAGGTAGAAGGAAACATGTATAAACCTACAGCATTTATTCATATTTAACCTTCCACTTGTAATCTGAGTGGAGAACTGAACAAACTCACTCTCATGCCTGGCCTGTCTGAGCTTTCTTCCCAGAAAGAGGAAGGCTCTTCCTGCCCCTTTCCAGGCAGGATGGGTGGGTTGGCGCAGCAGGGCCTTTCCCAAGGGCAGGGTGCTCCTCGCCAGCTCTCCCCATGGCACCAAGGGCAGGGAGGGCGAGCAGGACCCCCGACCCAGCASGAGCTCACTTTGTTTGCAGGCAAGCAGGAGCCACAGCCCTGCCTGGGCACCCGCTGGGAGCGCAGTGACCTCGGGGGTGCTGCTGGCACAGACTCCAYACGACCCACAAGGTCCTGTCCCCATCAGGATCCACCCTTTCTGAACTGTAAGTAAGTAGCAATACCCACAAGCTGTGAGTGTCTCCTACCCAGGATTTGTTCAGACGTCTTAAGCACAATAAGCTGTCTCTTCCTTCTGTTCCTGGACAACGTCAGCAGCTCCAGGGAGCRCTCAGGCAGGGCCCACTGCAGGGATCTCCCTGTGCTCCATCCATCACAGCCTAGCTYGGGACGCTCCCACGGGATCGGGGCTCCTTCCTTTGCACAAACACGGCTGTGCCCGTGCTGTCCCAGCTGTGCCCTGGGCTGGCTGCTCCCCCTGCCAGGGAGAGGTGTGTGTATATTTCCTCTTGAATAAAATACTGAACAACTGGCCTTGTGCTTGTCCTGACTGCCTGTGTGCTTTCCATGCTTGAGAGAAACRTTCCAGGGCTTCCAGCAAGGGAAGGACCACTGACAGCTTCAGAGGACAGCAGCTGACACACGCCCAGAGCCAGGCAGAGGAAGGGAATGGCCAGGGGAGCACACCAGATAGCTCAGAAACCCCACCAACATTCGGCTGCAGCAGCGAGAGCAAAGTGCTGGAAGCTCTCTGACCATCAGTGCTCATCATACCCACCCTCCACCCCTTGCAGCCCCTAAGGCCTGAGGCACCTTTTTTACACATACATCCTCCCACCCCCAACACAGGTACAATGAGGTAAGAGGGCAGGTTTGAGCTTCCCCCACAGGCACAAGATGCATCTCTCTCTTACCAGCAGCCCATTCACAGAAGTGCAGAGGTCTCACAGGGAAGTTTAGCCAAGGGCCTTTTTAATGGGTCAGTAGAACAGAGCGTGTGCAGCTCAYTTTGCTCACACAGGTGTCATCTCCTGCCTGCTCCAGGTTTGCCCATTCCATACCCTCAGAGCCCATGCTGCTGCTGTGAGACAGCAGCGCCAGTCCTTGCCAGAACAGCTGCTTTGAGCAGAGCACAGAACCAGATGTGGCCCCAGAGCCAGCACAGCTCTGTCACACGGGGGCTCTGGGCACAGGACAGGCTCCTCCAGCAGGGCAGAGCTAACTCAGTGACGTGGAAAAGTTCCTGCTGCTGTCCCGAGCCCCTGGGGCAGCACAGGCAGCCTTCCCTGTGCCTCGGCATGCTGGGYTTGTCCCAGAGTTACAGATTCCAGCCCAAAGCAGCACAGGACATCAGCCAGTTGTGACCCACCAATGCCAGTGAGGGTCAGGTTCTGGAAGGGTGCTGCAGGGAAATCCCAGGGAGTGCTGGAAAGGCTTCCCAGCACCACGAGGCAGGAGCAGCAGCRGCCGAGCCGGGGCAGAAGTGCTACTCCTCAGCCAGCGGAGGGGGTGTCAGGTGCAGCTGGAAGTTCTCGTTCTGGAAGACACTGCTGGTGGCAGGGTCCCCGTGGGAAACGCTGAGCAGCCCGTGCTTGTCACCGCCACCATGGCCCCCACGTGCCAGCTCTGTCAGCAGTGCCAGCTGCAAGGAAAACCCTCGGGTCAGCTCCTGCAGGGCACACGGAGCCCAGGGCATCACCATGCCCCTGCAGCACTGAGGAAAACCCAGCCCAGGTACAGTAAAGCTATGGATGGCATGGGAGACCCTACAGCTCCATGTGGGACACCAGTCCTCAACTGAACAACTCTCCAGGGCTCTTCAGGTTGCTTTAAAGGCACGTAATTGAAAAGCAACTCAAAAAAGAACCRGAAGTGCCAACAACCGCAGCCAAAAGAGATGGGAGGCATGAGGAAAATGCCAGGGACACAGAGAGCTGGGTATAGGGGGGAGGGAGTGTTCTGAGGGACTGCAGGAGCTGCTGTATTTGGAGGGAAGCTGAGTTACAAATCCACAAAGGGTCACCCCATGGACACTTCCAGGCCCAGCCCCACAGCCAGAGGCATTCCCATAGTTTCCCTGCCAGTGAATTTCCTGGTGTGGCTGCCTTGCAGTGTGCCACAGCTGAGTGYCAGCACCAGACCAAACCCCAGAGAACAGTCAGAGCCAATGTCTGGCTTGGCAACATGAGAAATGCCCACCCCCAGTTTAAAAACAGAGGGCAAACGGGGAGTACGTACTCGAGAGGTGCCTCGGTTGAGTCGGCAGAGCTGGTCAAAAGCTTGGATTTGCTGAGGATCCAACACAGACTCCGAACTTGTCTGAGAAAGAGTGAGAAGGTTACAGAAACCACATAGAGCAGGGTGTCAAGTTCCCACACAGAGAAATTCATTCCTGGGTCCAGAGCAGCTAGTCCACAGCCTGTTTGGGAGGCCTTTTCACCCATCCCTCCCTTGGCATGGAGCCACCATGCGCATAAGCAGCCTGTGCTTGTCACTGCCGCCAGATCTCCCCAGATCTGGGGGGAATAAAAATTCATCCTGTTCTTGCCCAAAGGATAGTCACACCCCTGCATCCACAGACAGTTATTGCTGGGCTCTGTCACTGACAGAACAGACTAGCAGTACTGGGACACCTCTGGGGAAGGAAGAAAGTCATGGGAAAACTCCCTCACAGCCAGCTGGGAAAAGGAGTAATAGATCCCTGTAGCCAAGCAGCCTCCCCAGGCTCCTTCCCAGGCAGCAGCAGCAGCTGCCCCCAGCCCTTTCCCATGTCCCAGCTACCCCAACCATGGCTCTGCCAATGGCTATTAACAACTAATGGCATCCTATAATAGCACCCTGAGGACCCTTCTCTAGTCCCCTAGGGGATGCCACAGACTGAAAGCTGGGAAATGAGGGGTGGGAAGGGGGGACAAGGTCACACAGCAATGGCAGCCATATTCCCGAGCCTGTGGCACTGCCCAGYTGTGGGTACAAGGCCCAGTGTCCCCCAGCAGGGAGGGGCAGCTGCAGGTGAGGRCAAAGACAGGGCCCAGAGCTGCAGCAAGAGCACTAAGGCAAGCAGGGCTGCACACACTCCAACTGCCGTAAACGGCACCATTTACATATCCCAGGGAGAGATGACAAAGCATCACAGATTCTTGTAGGTTTGTTCCATTTATCACGCCACACTGTTTCTATTTTGAATGTTTCTGCTCATATTGCAAAGCAAAAGCATCATCATCAAGAAACCCCAACAGGAGCCAGGAGAACAGCCTCCCTCATGAGCAGCAGGCTGGCATCTGCTGTCTCTGGGGATCTATTTTTAAGGGAACGTTCAAATATTTTCTACAAAATACATTTCCCAAGGGCTACTAACCAAAAATGCCACAGTCCTGCCAGTGGGTACTGACTGAAGCTGCATTGACTTTAAGCTCTTTGGCAATGGGAGATGCACTGAGCCTCCCGTGGGTTTCTTGAAGCCTGGATAGTCCTGACACTGTCCCAAAGCCACACAGGTCCTGCCTTTGATCATCAGTCTGGGAAGAGAGGAATGTCCTGAGTTCAGATCACTTCGGCTGGAAACATTTGCCCACCTCACTTCTTCCCCTTCAGGATATTCTCTGCAGTGTAAACAACCCTGCTGAGTGCCAGTCAAGGAGCCAGCTGTCCCCATTCCCTGCATAACCACACAGCCTGGGAGCCTGGGACAGGGTCAGGGACCTGCAGCTGATGGGTGGCACTGGTGCTTCCCAGGAACATGCAAGCCATCCTCAGTCAGAAAACACAAAAAGCAAGAAAAAGCTTCCCTCCACAGCTGCTGTGGCCACAGGCACTCAAGGACAAGGAACAGGCGACCAAATTGGCCTCCCCTCTCCTGCTCTCTCCCCACCACRTGTATGTAACTATCAATCAGTCTGTTCCCAGGCTGATGAGCTGAAATATTGCAGGCAATTCTTTCTGTTGTCATGGAAACAACTGCTGTCAGGCCTTTTCCTTTCTCAACTGTGTCACTGAAGGCATGCTTCCCTTCAGAAGCCACGGGAGGCTCCCGGGGTGCAGCAGCAGCAGCCCCCGGGGCTCAGCAGAAGGTGCTGGGCTCACTCCACAGCAAAGACACTGTCTCCAGGGCCAGACAGCTCCAGGATGGAGCCTTCAGCACCTCCAGCCCACTTCCAGCCACATCCCCACACCCCCTCAAAAGGCTTAGATGAGACACAGAACCCCAGAGACACGATTCATCTCGTGAGGATCKGGGCCAGGAGGAAGGAGAAAGGCTTTTTTCTTTCTCCAGCTCTCCTAGATCCCACCGCTAATGCTAATCTCCACTGCACGTTTTTCTTGCACGCATTCCACCCCCTCTGACAGTCACCAYACAGCCCTCCCAAGTCTGCAATTAGCTTTAATTTACCAGCTACAAATTCCATCATCAGCCCATGCCCAGGCAAAGCAGATCCCAGCACTTTGAGCTGAGGCACCGTCCATGGTCATGGCAAGAGGCCCATCCCAGAGCTGCCCCTCAGCAATGCTGCTGCAGCAGTTAGAGCTTCAGAGCAGTTAGAGCTTCAGAGCACCCTACGGCCCCGAGGTCTGCTCCCTGACACAGGGAGATGCAGCCAGAAGTTCTGGGGAAGGTTTTGGGATTCCTAGGAACGAAGGAAACCCCCATGTTCCCATTCACAGAGGTGAGCCCACAGGCAGCAGACACCAAGCCCACCCTCAGCCTTCCTTGCCTGCT